CAAGCTCTTGCTATCCCCAACATGCTATCTGTTTCCTCTGCTAAAACTCTGAGCCCCCAGTGATGGGAAGTCGTGTCTATTTTGTTTACTGATAAAGCCCGTGAGCCTTGGGAACGGGTCTAGTTACTAGATTCCCTTATGTAGTAGGAGCTTATACAGAGTTGCTGAATGAATGCAGAGGCCCTGGTCCAATCCGATGGAGCACTTCTGTGTCCTGCTCAAAGAATAACTCCTTTCCTCCTGAGAGGGGTGACCACTTCCTTAGTGATCAAAGGCAATATCTTTTTGCTTTATGCTGTTCACCTTAGGTGGGGAGACTCTGGGATCTTCATATACGTTTTTAAATTTGATTCACTCTGCAGGTTGTCTTCGGTCTATGTATCCTTTTGAGAAACCGTTTATGAGTGATCATTCTTCCATCAGACTGAACAGGGTCCAGGGGGAAGGACCAAGCCTGTCCCATCGGCCATCCTGTGTGTCATGTCCTGTGAGCCAGTGGATGCTCAGCACGTAAGTGAACGGACAGGACTGAGTGAAGAGATGGGAGCATCTCGTTATTGTGGCGGCTGCTCTCTGTCCGATGCCTTGAGATTTGGGGAAGGGTTTACAAGTGCAGAGGGGAGAGGGAAGGTTCTCTGTGCTCTTCCTGAGTGCCCTGGCCTTACCCATTCCCCCAGCCCCCTCTGGGCAGCCAAACTGAGGAGCTGGGCCACCGGGGGATTTGCTGATCAATAATCCACCTTCACCCCAAGTCCAGGGGTAGGAGTGGCCAGCACACCTGGTTGTAGACTCTGGAGTCAGGTCCTTGGAGGAATTCCTCACCGAACGATGTTTTGGACCTTTTATTTTTCTCTATAGCCTCCAGCTGAAGAAGAAGATTGTCTTAGACACATGAAAGATGAGGACATGTACTGTCCCCATGGAGCCTAGGTGGGGCTGGGAGTCTGCTGTTTGAACAGCCGGTGGGCTCATGTTGCTTTGGGCATCTCTGTGCCTGAATTCCTGCAGTACACTCGGTTGTAAGGATGGGGGTGCCTGGCAGGGAGGGAAGCAGGTCGGGAGACTGCACAGCTGGGGAGACGTTAACCTGGGGTGAGCGGGAGCCAGCTGATGCATGACATCTCCATGCAGGAAACTCTCCACACTCAGAGGGGTTCCCACTGCCGCAGGGGCCATTTGATGAGGGTGCTGGGCTGTCAGCACAGCAGGGTCCCAGTGAGAATTATGGTGCCTTCAGGCATTGGGAAGTGAGGGGTCCAGTGGCACTTAAATTAACTGCATACCCGAAGCCAGCCCCCACCTCTGTCAGCCTGTTTCCTAATCTGCAAAACTAGAATGATGTTAACCATCCCACGGGGTTGTTGATGGGCTGGGACAGACTAGAGAGTCAGGAGCTGGAATTCCTCTGTCCCCTGATTGTTTTCCTTCCTTCTGACTATTTGTTCTCACAAGCTCTGTCTCTCTGTCTCTCTCTCTTTCACTTGTAACTTTCTCTCCTGCTCTGGTTTCATTTGATTTCCAACCACTGCCCCTCCCCCTCACCAATCCCCAGATAAGTGAACTTGATTTCTGTGTGTCAGTTCCACATTCCCGGGAAAGAAGCTCTGTCTCCCTCTGGATCGGTTGTCCAACCCATCAGATGTGGCCAGAGGAGCGAGTACCTCTGGGACCAGCAAATGGGCTCTACCAAGCCCCCCAGCCACCACTGTGGGAGCACATAGCTCTCCAAGGAGGTGATACTGTCTGTGACTTGGTATCAGCAAGTGTGAATTTATGTCTCCTCTTGTTCCACCTTCATCCTCCTAAACAAAGATGAAAATTAAACGCTCCTGGGATCTGTGTTATGGAACACTCAGGACGGGAGCTAAGGGGGCTGTATTCTTTTCTGTGTTTAAGGGGCTACAGTGACTCCAGAACAACATCCTGTGAAGAGAACAGCACCGTTCCCACCTGGCATTTAGGGTGCTGAGTCTGTGTGATGTTGAGCCGGGCTTCTGACCACAGCTCTGGTGTCTCGTCAGACCAGTTAGCCTTTGAAATCAACCAGCTTTGGATTCCTCAATCCCTCCCTGTGGTTTTACCTGAACCACCAGCTTCTGTATCTCTGAAGACAGTTGAAGAAGACCCTTCACTTAAGCCTTTCACACAGCCCTGTGCAGGACTTTGTGCTGCATGGTCTCCCGGAGAGCTGACTGTCGTTGATATTTTACTGGTCTTAGAAATAGTCTGGTTTCCTGATATACTGTTTCACTGAACAAGCAACAGAAGCCACCTCTGGCTGATAAAAGTGAAAAAGGGACTTAATGAAAATATACTGGGAAGGTGCGTGGAGTGGCCAGGACCAGAGCTGACCCGGGGGCCATAGGAGGTGTTGGGGAGCCCTGGTCACCAGGCACCAGGCCAGACAGGGTGCTGCCAGGCCCTCTGCTGCCCCAGCAGGGACCCCCCTGCACCCTGGCACTCCACCTCACTCACTGCAGGTTCATGTCCCGGCAGGGCCAGGTCACACTGAAGCCACCAGCACACACCTCAGTGGGGGAGTTGGCCCCGTCTCAGCTGAGGGCATGCCTGGTGTGGGGAGATGCCCAGTTAGAGGAAGACGGTTCTCTTACTGTTCCGAGTTAAGGTGCAAGTCAGTGTCCATCACTCAGGAGAGCCAGGCTGGTCGGACCTCATTGTGGTGACTAGGCCGTCTGAGTTCACTTATAGCTTTTTATGTTGGAAGGACCTGGAGGGAGAAAAAGTGGAGGTTCTAGTACTTATTTTGTATTTCCCACATACCAGGTGCGGTAAGCAAGCCACTTCATGTAAATAGGCCACAGAGCAAGTCGTGAAGTCAGGCCTCCGAAGCTCTGAAACCCGTGTCCCCATCGGCTCCATAGTTACCAGTGGAAATTGGGGGGATTTATGGGACTGTGTTCTCATGTGGCAGTTGAGATGTGTGTATTTAAATGCACATCTTCAGAAATTCGGCTAGAACCACAGCCACTGATTGGCTGAACAGAGTGAGAGGGAGGGAGTCTTCCAGCCTCTGGTCCAGCTCGTGTGGAGCTCAGAAGTTGCTCCTCCTGTCTTGAAAACATCAGAGCTAAGGGAGCTGCAAACCTACCACTCTTCTTAGATCCACCAAAAAACTGAGGGAAAAAGCTGCTCCCAACCCAGAGAGGCAGCCAGGCAGCCTCGGAGAGTCACAGCTCCCAGGGCAGAACGCGCTGCTGTAAGAACCCCGGGGGCAGGCAGATTCAACAGGTCCCTGAGACCAGTGGGAGGCTCAGTGTGGGGAAGTGTGAGTGTGACAACTACAGGGGGCCAATCAGATGGGCCCCCTTCTCTTTTTCATGCATTTTACCTCCAGGACTGTGCCCTGTTGTCAGAGTGAAGATCAGAGAAAAACCCCTCATGCTTCCTGCCTGGAAAGGAGAAAATAGCTCTATTGAAATACACCCAGAACATTCTGTTCCATTTTGGGGGTTGTGTGTGTGTGTGTGTGTGTTTAATGAGAAATTATTTTACCAGAGCCTAACCAGCCTGGGGGAAGGAAAATACCTTCTGTTTCACCCAAATTGGGATGGGGGAAAGAGACACAATTGTGGAGGTCACAACTCAGGGCACAGGCTCAATAAGAACTAATCACAAGACTACAGATGCTCCCCTCTGTACCGTCCCCCCATCACCTTACCTCCATGTCAGTAGGGCCCCTGTGTAATAACAGGAATAAAACTAAAAGAAGTAAATATCTCAGGAGTGTCTAGGGAAAGCCAAAGACAGCTGGGAGATGAAAATAAGGACACACAGGCAACTTTAGTCTCTCATACCAATAGCTGTAGCAAACTACACACAGCCCAGCCCCAGTAGATAAACAGAAAACCTCACAGAAGAAACTTGATTTTGGTTCCCTTACCCAGTGCATCCCATAGTGCATCCTCACCTAGAATTGAGTGGAAGCATGTCCATCTCAGAAGAGACATAACTGAAGAGGGATGGCTTTCCAGACTCTGAGGGGCAGAGAGATCACCAGCCTGGGTGAGAGCATGGTGAGGGGTGGGGTAGGGAGTGGGCTGCCTTCTTCCCCAAATAAGGAACCTTCCTGAGGCCAGCACAGTGGGACGGAGGGCCATGGGGTGTAAGCAGACAGACTTCTTCCTGAGAACTGATGGGATGCCTCCAAAGGACCATTCAGGTGCCCAAACTGGGACCTGAGTGTGGGAGCCAGTCTGTCTGCCTCAGAGCCCAGGACTGAGGTGGGCGCACAGCAGGTAGGTCTTACTTGGTCGGTTCCATTTCACTTCCCTGAAGCCCTGTGTAAAACATGAAGCGTGGAAGGTCTGGTGAGCACAGCTCTGCCCTAAAGATCGATTTCAACTCCTCTCTTCCCAGAGAACAGCAGCTCTGAGCCCGTCCTGGGTGACCTCACAGAGATCATGCTAGTGGCCCAGGCTAGTGACCGGGAACATGTATGTTCCTGCAGCCAACCCCAGAGGTCCACTAATGCATCATGTACTGGGAAGGATGAGTCCCTTTGTGCTGGTGCAACAGCAGAGGCTTTGCCACAGGCCCAAGAGGTGGTGTGTAGGACATGCAGGGGTGTAGGTGGTGCAAAGATATAAGTGGTGCCAGGGGTGCAGGGGCCATGGAGGGTGCATGCAGTGCAGGCGGTGCAGGAGTGCAGGGAGTGCAGGGGTGCAGGGGTGCAGGGAGGTGCTCAGGCACGTGGCCAGGATCAGAAGTCAGGCACACGTCCTCATAGACAGCCTGATCCCTGGAGGCAGGAGTGGTGTGTTTGGGATGGTGTCGGCGGCAGCGGGAGGGGGGCTGCCCGGGCAAGGCGGTTGATCCCTTCTCTTTCCCGCAGCCTGGCCTGGAGGCGGCCTTGGCCACTGGAGATTCACCAGAGGTTGGGCTCCAAGTGAGCTTGCTCCTGGGAGGCGGGGCAGTTAGGTCAGGGGCAGTGGCAGCAGCAGCGGTAGAGGCAGCGGCAGAGGAGGGGAGTAGCACTGCCCATGGCGAGCTGGTGGATTAGCTCCCGTCTCCCCGGTGGCCAGGCCTACGAGCACCCTCTGCTGTCCCACGTCGCTGGACACACCTGTCCCACTCAACCTGCTGGAGGTGTGGGGCCCAGGGTGGTGCTGTCAAGGTGCGGGGGTGGTGATGGCGGGGAGAGAGGGACTGCCACGCGGAGCCGGTCAATTTACTCCCCTGTTCCCCGCGTTCAATCCTGGGAGCGTCCTCTGCTGCCCAAGATTCACCTGACACCCCACTCCCCGTTCAGGTTGCTCCTGGGAGGTGGGCGTGGTGAGATAAGGGGGCAGAGATGAAAAGGGAGCTTCACCTTTCAAGCTGGTGGATTAGCTCCCATCTCCCTGGCAGCCTGGCCTTGTGGCAACCTCTGCTCCCTGGGTCACGGGACACACCTGTCCTACTCAGCCTGCTCTAGGGAGGCAGGCATGGTGAGGTCATGGGGTGGGGGCTGCAGCTCCTGAGGGTGGAGGGGAGCTGCCCCAGGGGAGTTGGTGGATTAGTTCCCATCTCTCTGGCAGCCTGGCCTGGTGGCGGCTTCTGCTGCCCCTTGTTCGCTGGTCGCCCTTCTCCAGGTCATATTGCCCCGGGGGTGCGGTATGGTGCAGGGGTGGCGGGGTGGTGGTGGGGGTATGAGCCTCCCGCTCCGGAGCCCTTGGGTTAGCTCCTGTCTCCCTTGCGGCCTGGCCTGGGGGCAGCTTCTGTTGCCCCAGGTCGCAAGACACATATTCCCTGATGGCCTAACCACTGGAGGCGGACAGGATGTGCTGAGGGGGTCAGGGCAGCGGTCGAGGTGGCGATGGAGGGGGCTGCCCCTGGCCAGCCCATCAATTTGTTCCCATCTCCCCTGCAGCCTGGCACAGGGGCAACCTTTCCTGCCCCAGGTTCACAGGATGCCCATCTCCAGTTTCTCCTGCTCCTGGGAGGCGGGCGCGGTGCAGTCAGCCCAAGGTCTGGGCTCTCTACCGGGGACAGGAAGAACTCTCTTGATCTCATTTATCTTTATTCTTCAGCAACGAGGTCAGTGGACCCAATTCTTAATCCTGAGAAAGTGTAGCCTGTGTTGTGGAAGAGCTGCTGGACAGTGTGGTTTCTGGGTCGGTTTTCACATCAGCTGATGCTCCAGGCAGGCAGGAAAGCTATTACTCAGAGCTTCTTAGCCTGGAGTTAGGGGATGGTACCCAACATCCTCACCATGCTTTTTCTAAATATGTTACTCCTTTTTCCTTGGTGACATTTTATGTTATTGGGTCACAGATTGCTGGCACACTCATCTCTGTTCTCAAACATCTTTTAAACTTGGGTGAAGTGACAAGTAGGGGAAGAAGATGATTTACTGAAAGATAAGACCACATAAATTTGCATTAAAACCATATTCTGTCAGTCTTTCTCAAATGATTTTTCTGATTCTAAATCCACAACCTAGGGAATGTTGTACTCCTGTGTAAATCATTGATCTTCACATCACATTTGTTGAGTGGGCAACGACATTTGTTAATCAGGCTTATTCCTGAAAGAGAAACTAAGGCTTTTGAGAATTCCTTGTCTGATGTCACCCAGGCAATCACAGTAGAAGATAGATCTTATGTAAAAATTCCTCAGCTGCCTGAACTGCAAAGCTTCTGGGATTACTGATCCCTGAAATGCAAGTGACTCTTGATGATAATATGGAGGATGGTTTATATGATCAGATCCTTCCAATCCTGGATATGGGTTCCATGGCCCCAGCCCTGGGAGAACTGATCATAAGGGCCATATCATGAGGGGTGGGATGGAAAGGCAGAGGTTTAAGAGCTGGAATCACTGAGATTACTCTCTTGCTAAACACAGACTCCAGAGCCTCATTTCTGTTGGGTTCTGTTCTGGAGTTGAGAGATTGTTCAGACATGATTCTTGCCCTTCAGGAGTCACTGTCCAGGTGGAAGTAACCTTTATATAAACCTGGGAAGGATGGTGATTAAAGTAGATGGGCTGTTACGGTACTCAGTGTGCCCAGGCTCGCTCTTCCAGGCACTCACGGGACTTATGAGAGTTATGTTATTCACTCATTTACTGATTTATTACCCTTGAACTGATCATTTTTCCCACAGTAAGTGAAACAAGGGATTAGGAACCTGAGTTTTGTCCCCTCTCCTATCAGTGATTGTATCGATCCATTGGGCGACCTGCGTATGCATTGTGAAATGGTGTGGTATTTCTTACCCAATGGGACTGCACTGTCAATTTTGAGAATCACAGGAGACAGCTCCCTGACAAACATGAATACCCCCACCTCGTGTTGTCGATGCTCAGGCCAGCCAGATGTAGACTGTGGTTATGAACCTAAGCATGTGTAGTGATCTTGGTGACTCTCTGAACTTACAGACTACCGGTCCCTACCTCTGGAGATTCTGAGGGTCTATACCTCAGAATTCTGCATTTTAAGAAGCACTTAAAGTAATTCTGAAGAAGATGATCTGAGTGTCCCACTGAGAAACACTGATGTGAGATGCACCAATATTGAGGATTCTCAGGGAGAGATGTCTTTTCAGGATGGTCAAAGGGCCCTCACTTGAAACTTTTGCCTTGGGTTAATTTGTATGTGTTCAGAAGTGATGTCTCTCACTTCCGATGCTTGTCAGCATGCTCTGTGCAGGGACTTGCACTCAGTAGATGGCAAAAACTATGATTCTTCAGGTCACTGAGCTAAATATGAGCAATCTTTTATTTTGGTTTTCTTTATAGCAATGCAGAGTCTCCCGAGAAGAGATTCAGACTGAGGAGCTTTGTGTCAGACTTTGGAAGACCGCTGGAGCCCTAGGTGTTATCTTGACAGGGCAATGACGAATCTAGGTCCCTCTTTCACTGCTACGTCAATGAAGTGGACCACTTGGACAAGGCCAAAGCTGGTCTCCAAACCACAGCCCCTGACAGAGACATTTGGCTCCAGAAAGCCATCAGATGCAGCAGGTGGCCAGAGAAGCCGAACAGGCTCATGAAATGTGACATCCCCAACTTCGTCAACACGGACCAGAACTCCTCCTTTGGGGAAGGTGATCTCCTGCTTTTGGAAACACCGATTGTTCTAGAAAATAAGCCAGTTGCCCAGACCTCACACAAAGACTTGAAATGAGAAACGTGTTTTGTCAAGAGTCTTTCTGAAGATGTGAAGTCTGTATTTGTATGGCAGGAAGTCCCCTTTCACAAAATTGTATGTGTTTGTGACTGAGAGAGAGAAATGGAGACAGACAGAAAGACGAAGAGACAGAAGAGAGCCCCCTCAGAAGAGAGCTAGTTAAGGTGAGTTTTTGTGCCTTTAAAAAATATTTGGGTTTTTTTTCTGGGGCGGGAGCAAAGTATTTACACTGTCTCATTCTCCTCGTTGGAAACCTTGGCCCCGTACTCAGTGTCACCGTCCTTGAACGAGGGTTGGAACGTTATGTTGTTATCTGGTGCTGCCACTTCCACTCTCTGCCTTTAGTACATTGCTTTGCCTCTCAGGGCTGCCACCCTTTTAACTGTAAGGAGAGGAGTCTGGAGTAGATGATCCATCCCAGCTCTGCTGTTTTGCAAATTTATGACTTCATATTCAGATGAGCCTGTGATACACCCAGAGCAGTATAAACCAGGCCCTACCTCCTGTCTCTTGCTGGAGCATCCCTCAGGTCTGTGCCATCTACTCAACCCTTTACTTAACCCACCTTTTTTCAGGAGCCCAAGTGCCTACCGGGATGGCAGGAGACTTGTCTCTCGTGGTCACAGTGGCCAATATTTCTATTGGTTTTGCTGAAACAGCTCTTCTGAGATCCTCCGGCCATCCTTGCTCAAACCTGAGGGCAGCCCTGCCTTTTCTCTCCTAGGATGAGGATCAATCCATGGTGCATTTCATGACAATCCTGTCCCCAGGAATGCATGGAAGGTTATCAGCTGAGTGAGGGGAGGTGCCTCTGTGTCTCTGTGTCAGTATATCTCTGTCTGCTCACAGTGCCCTGACACCGGCTACTGAACAAGGAAAGTGCTATTCAACATGCTGTGTGTTTTGCAGATGTGTAGGTGATGATCGTGTGGCTTGTGTGTGGGCTTTGAGCTGGGATGGTGAAGGGCTTATAAATACCTCATCAACATGTATTCGAGGTGGCCTGGTGCCACACAGACTTGATTCATGAAGGCATCAAGCCTGCACACTGGTTTGGAAACAACTTGGTTTTGATCAGTCACACTGCATGAATGACTCGCTGCTAATCTCTGGGTGTTTTTTTCATTACAGATTTATTCACCCCGTGTCTTGCTTAAGATGAAAAATACATTTATTGCACCAGAATATTCTCTGGTTCTTTGTTTTCACACATCCAGTTTTTTTTAATTCCTTTAAAAATGATTCTGTATTTATAATGTTTCCTAATTTCTATCATCTCTAGGTTCCCAGTGGTCTGAGCCATACACCAGATTTGATATAAGAACTGTTCCACAAAAAGAAATCCCTTTGCCACATCTTTTAAGGAAAATATTATTCTTTAAATCTCTAACACTATATCGTACAATAAAGCATGGAACATTTCTTGTAGTTAATACATGTTCATGCAAAAAGTAACGATATTTTGATTAAAGAATGTTGATTTTAATAAATTTTACTAATGTGAATATTATTATTCATAATTTAAGTAACCAAATAAAACCACAATTGTTTATTATTAAGATTCAAAACTATTTACATGGTCTCTCAATTAGAAGTAGCTTTATTAGAAGACTGAAGGGTATTTAAAAGATGGAAAAATACCCATGATGACACCATCATTTTTATTAACTAAATATCAAAAACTGTGCAGGGTTAAGATTTGACCCTCTGCAAGCTGCCATGTTAGCATGAGGTAGTTTGTGGATGCTGCCAGAAGACATGGGACTCGTGGGTCAGAGACAAAGGACTTCCTGCCAGCACAGCAGGCAGCCTGTGGTTCATGTGCTTGTTGGTTCCTGAGTTCCTTTCCTATTGCTGTTGTAACAAAGGACCACAGACTCAGTGGCTTAAAGCAATACACATTCATTTTCTCACTGTTCTAGGGTGCAGAAGTGCAAATTCATTGTCAGTGGGCTAAAACCAACGTGTGGTCAAGGCTATGTTCCACACTGAGGCTCTAGGGAGGGATTCATCTTCCTACCTTTCCCAGCTTGCAGAGGTGCTCACACTCCTTGGCCCAGGGCCCTGTGTCACTGTGACCTCTGCTGCCACTTCACATCTCTGTCTCTGACCAATCTGCCTCTCTCCTCTAAGGACCTTTGTGATGACATTTGCTTACCCACAGTGATCTCCCATCCCAAGGTTCTTGACAGTCACACCTGCAGAGTCCCTTTTGCCATACCCAGTGACATATTCCCAGGTTCTAGTGATCAGACCATGGACATATTGGGGGCCATTATTCTACCACATTCTTCCCTTTGGCCCCACGGGTTCTTGTCCATCCCACATGCAAAATGCATCCACCTCATCTCAACACCCTCCAGAATCTCAGTTACTACACCGTCAACTCAAAGTTCAACATGTGGTCTAACTATTATCAGCTCAAAACCCTAAATATTTTCATCCCCATCACCTAAATCAGGCGTGGGTGAGACCCTGAGTGTGTTACTTCTCTGCTCAAAACCATGCAATGGCTTCTCATTTCACTCAGTGAAGAAGCGAGAATCCTTATGGTGACCTTACATCTTTCCTCCCCCTCCCCAAGCTGACCTCACCTCCAGTTTTCTCCCTGGCTCACTCC